CCTTTTTTTTTTTTTTTTTTTCCCACTGTTGTCACTACTCTCCTTGCCCCAGTTTTAGCCCTGTCTCTTATACACATCTAGATGTGTATAAGAGACAGCATCTTCCCTGTTTTAAACCCATGACCGTTGTCCTGCCCTTTCCCTTGTTCCCCTTCCCACCCGCCTCTCTCTCTCTCTCTCTCTCTCTCTCTCTCTCTCTCTCTCTCTCTCTCTCTCTCTCTCTCTCTCTCTTATGCTTCCGTTGTGTCTTCCTCTCATTCTCACTTTCTCTCTTAGAGATTGCAATATTACCCCTGGGCAATTTCCAGGTCTCTCCTTTGATCCATCTTCCTGTTCCCCCTTCCTGCATTGTCCCCGCTTGCTTGCTCTTCATCGTGCCCAACTTCCAAATTCACCCCTAACCTTTGGCCTGTCCTGTTCCTTGTTCTCGCGCTCTCTCTGTCTCTCATTCTCTCTCTCTCTCTTACTCCCATACTCCCTCTCTCTGTCTGGCTCTCTCTCCCCCTCTCTCTCTCTCTCGCCGTCTCCCTCGCTTTCTCTCCTACGTGTCCGTCCTGTCTTTCCCCCTTTCCCCCCTTCCCCCTTTCTCTCTTTCTCTCTTTGTGATTGGTATCTTAATTCTTCTCATACTTTACACCGAGGGAGGTTTATATTTTGTTACCGCGAGGGATGGTTAGGGCTACCTTTTTGTAATTTTTATTATTATTATTATTATTATTATTTATGAATGATCGTTGTGCAGTTTTTTGTGTTTTTTCGTTTGTTTTATTAAGAGGGCGAGAGCTTGGATGTATCATTGTCATTGTGAACTTGACCTGCCGCAGGTAATTCAGAAGTATTTGATTTCATTCCTCTAGTCCATCTATAACTAAATCATCATCATCATCTGCTTATCTTAGTTGGTCTCATAATCATGGTTATCATCGGTTTCGTATTATCATCATCATCGTCTTTTCTCGATAAAAAAACGTTTTTTTTGGATAAAACACATTCATCATCTTCTCATCTCTGTCATCATCGCAATCTTTTGTTCTCTCTCTCGAGCGATCTCCCATTGATAGTGCTATCTGCTTTTGCTGCTCGGGATCCCAACTGTCGTCAAGCTCATCATCAGCAGCAGCACAATTGATGATGATGAGGAGGAGGAGGATGAGGAGGAGGAGGAGGAGCATGAGCTTGGCAATCGTTGGGATCTGCTCGGGATCCCAACTATCGCCAACCTCATTATCATCATCATGAGCAGCACAATTGATGATGATGATGATGATTGATGATGATGATGATGATGATGATGAGCATGAGCTTGGCAATCGTTGGGATCCTGATCGTATTTTTTTTTTTTTTTTCAGGATTTGTTGGAATTTAATTTGGCATGGTAGGCAGATGGAATATGGTGAGAAAGATAAAGCGGATCTGAAGTTTGATATCCGAGAGGCCAGAGAGCGTTTGAAATTAGAATAAACGCGTGTATTTATTTGTGGCTAAATATTAAAGCCTTTTTTTTTTTTTGACTTTTATACAGCACTACGACAGACTTTATTTTACTGTTTTTTTTTTTTGGGCGGGGGGGGGGCGGGGGTGTATTATTTCTCGCTCCCGCTCTCTGCTTTTCAATTCTGAAGGCTATGTTTATTCAGACCTCTTAGCGCGCTTCTCTGGCTCTGGAATTCCTTCTATTTTCGCTCTCAGCTTCTCTCGCTCTCCCCTCCCTTTCTCCTCCTCCTTTACTTATCCCCGCAGCAAATTCCGTACCTTTCCAGTTCCATTTTGTCCATTTCATCATCTTCATCATCTTCGTCATCTCCTTCATCATCCGCTTCATCATATGTACTTCATCATCTACTTCATCATCTACTGCTTGTCGGCTTTCGGTTCTTCTTCTTCTTTTGGTGTCCTCATCGTCTTCATTGGTATTAGTATCTCCTCCTCGTTGCCTTGCTTCTTCTTCTCCTTCGTTTTGGTGCCAGTGTGTGGTGGAAGCCGGAAGGGTAGGTGTGTGGAAAGCCTCCTGAGGATGGCCGCAGCGCAAGAGGTCGAAACGCAGCGTCGAGGAATGTGCGCGTTGCTGAGTAATTAGTCGGGACCGAGTCGGGATCGCTCTCTCTCTATCTTTCTCGCTCTTTCTCTCTTTCTCTCTTTCTCTCTCTCACTCTCTCGCTCTTTCTCTCTCTTTCTCTTTCTCTTTCTCTTTCTCTCTCCCTCCCTCTCTCTTTCTCTCTCCCTCCCACACACACACACACACAAACTCAAACATTAACACACACGCATCACACACACACACACACACACACACACACCCACACACCCCCCCCCCCCCCCCCCCGCCCCCCCCCCCCCCCCCCCCCCCCCCCCCCCACCCCCCACCCCACGGCGGCCCCGTCCCGGGGTGTAGAGGTCTACTGTAGGTAGAGGACTACCAGCACCCTATCGTAGGGGGGAGCTGCCACGTTGGCGCGCGAATCAGTGGGTAGAGCTTGACTTCTGAATCTGGCATGGTACACTGCAGTGCCACTGCAAGCGAGATCATTCTCGAGGTTGAGATCGCCTTCCCCTCCGACTCTTCTCTCTAGGAGGCGCGTCAGCTTTTCTCCGACAGGGGGAAAAACGAAGAGCGAACGGCCGAAAAAAGGCAAGTGTGTTGCAGATTGTTTTTTTTTCCCCCTTCTTCTCGAGACTGCCGAACGTTCTCCCCCGCCCAAATTGCGCCGAGATTCCCCAAAAAAAAAAAAAAAAAATTCCGCCGAGATTTCGGCTGCTATCTGTACCTTCGGATATTTTTTATTTTTTTAAATATAGCAGATTTTTTATTTTTTATGTACTTTCGGAAATCCCGCTCCTAATCTTAGAGCCACCTCTGTATGGGTTGCTCTAATGTACCCCCTCCCAAATCCCTCTCGTAATCTTTTTCTCTCGTACTTCCTCACTCTTCCTTCCCCCCGGTGTGTATGTGTGTTTGTTTGCGTTTTTTTGTCTTATTGCACGTACGTGTGTGTGTGTGTGTGTGTGTGTGTGTGTGTGTGTGTGTGAGAGAGAGAGAGAGAGAGAGAGAGAGAGAGAGAGAGAGAGAGAGAGAGAGNTCTTCTTCTTCTTCTTCTTCTTCTTCTTCTTCTTCTTCTTCTTCTTCCTCCTCCTCCTCCTTCTCCTTCTCGTTCAAGCATTGGGAGATACTACTTCACACTTCCAGGAACGGGTGATTCATCACGACTTTGCCTCCAGAGCGGTACAAGCGGAGAAAAGTTATGCCCATCTCTATAGATGCGATATGCTTGTACGATGACCAGTCTTTGGCCACCTTTTTTTTTTTTTTTTTTTTCCCACTGTTGTCACTACTCTCCTTGCCCCAGTTTTAGCCTTCGAGAATTATAATCGTTCTCCCCTGGTGCCCGGCAAACGTCCAACCCTCCCCCCAATTCGATTTCTTTTTTCTTCCTTCTCTTTCTTTCATTCATGCCAACTGTTCCCAGCACGTGTCACTCCCCACGAATAAGATTTGGAGCCATCCACCTACCCGGTAGGGCGACCCTACTACAGATGAGGGCTCTTATCGTCCCCCTGTGTAGCAGCAGCGCCCGCAGCGATGCCTAAAAAAAAAAAAAAAAAAAAAGGCTTGGAAACTTGTCAATGCCTGGCTTTTACCTACTGTTCGTTAATGCCTTCTATTTTTTTTGTTTCTTTGTTTCTTTGTTTTTTAGCGTCGCTGGGGGCGCCCCTGCTACAGAGGGGGGCGATAAGAGCCCTTTTTGATCTGTAGTAGGGTCGGCCTATCGGGTAGGTGGATGGCTCCAATCTTATTCATGGGGAGCGACTCGTGCTGGGAACCATCTGTAGCCCTGCGTCCCATCGTTTTTATTTTTACAGTACTTAGTACCCTTCTGAGAACGCTCTTTTCTGCACATGCTGTTTGGTTGGTTGGTTGGTCGTTTTTTTTTTTTTTTTTTTTTTTTCAAAACTCAAATTTCCATTTCACAACATGCACATACTGTTCGGCACTTGCGGAATCCGTGTTGCATAAATAAATGTGTATTTTGGGCGATTTTCAGTCTACATACAGTGTTTGTTTCTGCCTCAAATCCGTGTTGCTATATAGCAAATAAATAAAGCATAGGGGTATTGAAGTTCGAAATTGAATTCCTACTGCCTTCCCGCCAATCGAAGGCTTGGCCATTATATCTGTATTTGGGGCAACTTTCAGTCTCGATACGTTGATAATGACCGTGCGTAATCTGTTCTGGGAAACCGGTAGTAAGCGGCGTGAGTCGTCAGCTAGCGCTGATTACGTTCCTGCCCCTTTTTTACACACACCGCAGACGTCGCTCCTACCGACCGATTGAATGAATGAATGAGAATGAATGAATGGTCCGGGGAATTGTCTGGATCGCTGCGCCATCCCGGGGGGCCAAGTCCCACTAGCAGCGTTGAGTTTCCTCAACGCCTGAATCTGGTCGTGTTTGTGGAGATGTGCGGATCAGGAAACCCTACGCCATGTCTGCACATCTCCACGAAAACGACCAGATTCAGGGGTTAAGGAAACTCAACGCCGCTAGTGGGACCTGGCCCCGGCTCTTTGGCGCTGCGGGAGTTTTCTGAGAGGTCCATTGTGACCCTTTCGTCCTTTGGTGGAAGGAGAAGAGTCGTAAAAGGGTTCCGTAGGTGAACCTGTGGAGGGGTTTGGAAAAAAAACAAACAAACATAATAATAAATTCACCACGACCCCTGTTGGAGTGTAATACCCAAATGCCTTTAGCAACATCATGCACCTGGACGCGATACCGTCCACAGGGGCTGCATTGTAGTTTTCGAGTTGTCCTGCAAGGGCATGCAATTAAAGACGTTCAGGTCCGCCGCAGCTGTGCGATTTTGGTTCCTGACCTGTTCTCGGAAGTCGTAAATCGGAAGTCCGTCGCTGCTCTCTCTCTCTCTCTCTCTCTCTCTCTCTCTCTCTCTCTCTCTCTCTCTCTCTCTCTCTCTCTCTCTCTCAGACACACACACACATACAATCCACCGTGTGCGTGCAAAGAATTTCGATGTGACCCTTGAGGCAAAACTTCGTGACCACGTTTTTTTTTTTGTAATTTATTTTATAACCATATATTTTAAATGCTAAACAGCGAAACTATGACACCTCGAACTCACAGTTCTTTCTTTGTGCAGACACTTCTTGCTTAAAAAGAAGGAAAAACGTTTTTTCGAGGTGTCATAGTTTGTTTTCATTGTTTAGCATTTTTTTTAAACATGGTTGTAAAATTAAAAACTGTGAGCTCGAGGTTTCAGAGTTTTCGTTGTTTGAAATGCTAAACAAGTTAAAAAAAACTATGACACCTCGAACACACCTCCGTGGGCAAACTCTTCTTTGTGAAATTCAACGATTAAAAAAAAGAAAGAAGGAAAAACGTGAATGCCTCTTACTCCAAGCGCACTTAGTCTAGCAAAGACAATCCTAACTCCGCACACTCTTTTCTGTCCGCCATGCTTTGTGTTTTTGGATCCAGGTCATAGCAGAGATTGCTTATCGCCAGTTGCATGGGGATGCGAGGGAACATGTTGATCTGGTGCGTATCATTCTTTTTGCTTAGTTATTCTCCCTATTCTCCCTATTCTCCCTATTCTCCCTATCCTCCTCTATCCTCCCTATTTCTTTTATCCTCTCTTCTTCTGATATCCTTCCTTCCTATCCTCACCTATCCTCCTCCCTATCGTTGTTCTCCTGCCTATCCTAGCAATCCTCTCTATCTGCATTATACCTTTCCGACTCTCCTTCTTGCCTCTCCTCTTCATCCTCCCTACCCTCCCTTCTTCCATACTCTCGCCGTCCTTCCTTTTTTCCTTATCCTTCTCTATTCTCGCTATACTCGCTATTCTCCCTACCTTCCCTACCTTCCCTACCTTTCCCTACATTGCCTACATTACCTTTCCTCCTTACGTTCCCTACGATCCCTACGTTCCCTACCTTCCCTACGATCCCTACGTTCCCGACCCTCCCTATTCAACCCCATGTAGCCACATTTGACCCCTGACAGCCTACCCTCCCTTTGGATTTGGAAATCGAATCCGAGGTTCCCTTTGGGACTTTTGTTGAAATCGGAATGCCATACGGAAGATCAGGAGATTGGGGATGATATGCACAAATTCAACAAATTGAGAAATGGTCCGAATTGGGATCTAAACTTCTAAAGAAAAATCTTAGGAGTTTCAGGAGCATTTGTTTCCGAGGTTCCGTTTGGGACTTTTGTTGAAATCGGAATGCCACACGGAAGATCAGGAGATTGGGGATGATATGCACAAATTGAGAAATGGTCCGAATTGTGATCTAAACTTCGAAAGAAAAATCTTAGGAGTTTCAGTAGCATTTGTTGATGGCCGCACTGTTGTACAAGCTGCATAGCTGGTCTGACATCTTCGGAGACCTGAACAAAACAATATGCTTGGATTTCAGACTTCGAGAGATGCCATGCAGCCTGTGCTTAACTGTATTTGGATTGCAGACCGTATGGTCTCTGGTCTTCTGACATCTCTTGATAGTTGTTGACGCTTGCATCGGATGTCTTTAACAAAATCCTTAATCAAGGCAAAGTTTTCGGACTACTCAGGTATTATAAGGTTTATTATTTTTCACATAGTTAAACAGGCTTTGCTATCTTTCTGTCCAGACATCTTCAAAGTTCAAGCATATTGCCACTCTCACTTTGTGATATGTTCTGACACCTTGGTTCACTCTCCTCCCCCTCCCCTTCCCCCGTCTCCCCACCCTCTTAACACCCTCTTAACCCCCGTCTTCCCCCACTGCCCTCCCTTGCAACCCTTTTCCCCTTGGCTTCCTCCCCACCTCCCCCCCTGCGCCCCCGCTTGCACTCCCTTTCTCCCCACTTTTCTCCCCGCCTCCTTCCCCCCCTTGCGCCCCTTTTTCCCTGCTGCTTTCGTCCCTGCCTTCCTCCCCGGCCACCCCTTGTAAATGGAGCCTTAATCAAGCCACAATTTTCTGATACCTTCCGGTTGGGAGGATGTTCTCAAATCTTGCAACATCTCATACCGGCTGACGGCTGCTTGACATCTTTGCTTTGTGTCTTTTTTTTTTTTGTTTGTGGTTTTGTTTTTGTCCTGTCTGCAGTACATAAATGCATTCAAGGGTTTCTACTCAGATCAAAGTGACTTTCCGACAGCAGCTGCGTGAGTTTGCTTCACCGTCCATGCCCTTCATGATGGCCCCCACCCTACCTGTCTGTCCCACAAAATCGCAAACGGATCAGCAAGACGTAATTGGGCTGTGCCTCAATTCGCAGCTCTTTGTAAAACAGAACATAAGCACAGCAGAACTGAGAACAGAATCCAAAGTGACAGCAACAGCCTTTACGGCAAAACAAAACAACCAGATGTGAAAAAAGTCATTGAGGTCGATTATACTACAGTCAGATGTGAAAACAATCACCTGTGAAAAAGTCAAGAAATTGACAAAATATGGTCGAATATACTACAGCTATACACACAATGTCACACATTATTATTAAAAGAAAAAGGAAAAAGACTTCTAAAAAACAAAAAAAACTACACAGATGTGAAAAGTTTGTAGAGGTAGCTAAGCATCTCTGCCGTCAAAGCTGTTTCTCTGTTATCGCTTGCAACTTCACATGC